ACATTATAAGAAAACTATAAAACCCCAATAAAACCCATCACAGAAGATCTAAATAAAGATTTCATATTTATGGCAAGAAAGATTCAAGATTATTAGTCTTTCTCAGCTTGTTGTACTGCAGAAGTACAATCACGACCTCAACCATTTATTTTGCAGATATTGACAATCTACATATAAAGGTAAATGGAAAGGCAAAAGATCTAAGATAACACAGTACTAAAAGACAGAGTGAGAGGAGTGACACTCCCTCACTTCAAGATTTATTATAAAGCTAACGTGATCAGGTTGTTGTTGTAAGAAACCTACACACAAGAAAAGGGCACGATGCTCGATCCTGGGCCATCATCACGGTCTCTGCTCTTTTGGAGCCCACTGTGTCAACCTATGTTTTTGAAGGTCTTCCTCTTTTTCACAATCATGTCCATCTTTAAGGACTGGTGCATCCATCAATGAGCCTGAAGTATGTGAAACAAAATTCCTCTATCATTGCTTCCAAGGAACACTTTGGTTTCACTTCTGTCAAGATAGATCTGTTGGCTGTTTGACAGGCCAGGTATATTCAATATTCTCTGTCAATACCATAAGTCAAAGGCACCAATTCTTCTTTGTTCTTGCTTACTTACTGTTCAATTTTCAAAGCAACTGAAAATACCATGGCTTAAGTCAGATGCACTGTCAAAGCAACACCTTTTTTCTTCGGCACTTAAAAAAAGTCCTTTGCAGTAGGATTAAAGCAATGCACTCACTACGTCATTTGTTTTCCTCACTGAAGCTTCCATGAGTGTTAATTTCTGATCAAAGTAAAATGAAATACTTGACAACATGAATCTTACTTTTTAGATGATGATGTTATTTACTGGTCAAGTGGTGATGATTTTCTTCTCTATATATTGAGGTATCATTTATATTAAAGACTATATAATCTTTAAATACTGAAAGTCTTCATTATGTGCAAACAAGGCAGTGACATCTGCATATTGGCCTACTGGGGGTTGCTGATGAGGTCTCTTTCCAATCCTGATACCACATTCTTCTTCATCTAGTATCCTTTTGTTCTGTTCAAATGATAACTTGTTGGTCCGGGTTCCACATGAGTCTAATTGTTTTTTAATTCCCATTCTTTTCAATGTTGTTGTTGTTTCTGTTGTGTACCCATAGCTGACCCTTCAAAGGGTTTTCAGAGGCAGTCAGTCCCATGGAACATGACTGCTGCTCATCTTTCTACTGTAAAGCAGCTGGTGGATTCAAATTGTGTACCTTTGAGTAAAAACCAAAACTCTTAGCAGAAACCACCAATGCTCCCTGTTCTTTGTAATGTTATCCAAAACTTTTGATGATCCACACACTCAAACACATTTGCAGTCAATACAATGAAGGTCAAAATCTTTTTGGTACTCTCTGCTTTCAGTCAAGATCCAAGCGATATTAACAATGTTACCTCTCCCTCTATGTCCTCTTCTGAATCCAGCTTGAATTTCCCGAAGTTACTTGTTAATCCGAGACTGGACAATGAATAAAGATGACAAACTGACGCTTCTGAAGTGTGGCTGTTGGAGAAGAGCGCTGAACATCTGGTGGATGGCCAGAAGAATAAACACATATGTCTTGGAGAGGGTGCAGTCGGAGTGCTCTTTGGAGGCCAGGATGATGAGGTTTCACCTCACATACTCTGGGCATATTGCTAGGAGTGGCTATTCCTTGGAGAAGGACATGATGCTGGGAAGGGTGGAGGGTCAGCGAAGAAGAGGAAGACCTTCAACCACATGGACTGACATGGTGACTGCTGCAATATGGTCTTCTTTTCTTGCCCCCTCTTTGCAATAGGCTTTTTTGTGTCAGGAAGTGTGAGGATGGTTCAGGACAGAGCAGGGTTCAGATCTTTTTTGTTCACAGGGTTGCTATGAGTCATACTCAACTTCACGGCATCTAATAACAGCAACAACTTGTTAATATACTGCTCTAACTACTTTTCAATTATCTTCCACAAGATTTTACTTGTGTTTGTTACTAATAATATTGTTTGGTAATATGTGCATTCTGATGGAATGGGAACAAATATCGATCTCTTAGAGTCAGCTGGCCAAGTAGGTGTCTTCCAAATGTCTTGGTACTGAGTAGTAAACATGTCCAGAGCGGTATTAGTTTGTTAAATCTATCAATTGGTAGGCCATTAATTTCTGAGCCAGCCAGCCAGCCAGCCTGCCTGCCTGCCTGCCTCCCTCCTTTCTCTCTCTCTCTCTCTCTTTCCTGATGCTTTCAGTGCAATTTAAACTTTTTCCTTCATTATCCATGTTTCTCAGTCAGAGAAGCATGGATAATGAAGGAAAAGGTTTAAATTGGTGGTGGTGTAAACAAAAGTTTACAGAATACTAGAGGGCCTCCACAAGAAAAAGACTGATAACCCAATTACAAAATAGATAAAAGAGACAGAAAGATTTTTCACAGAGGTAAACGTTTAGATGGCCAACAGACACAAGAAGAAATGTTCAAAATCATTGGCAATGAGAGAAATGCAAATCAAAACAAGATACCATTTCACTCCAGTAGCAGGGGCAAAATTTAATAGGACAGCAAGTAATAAATGTTGGAGGGGCTGCAGAGAGATAGGAACTCTTATACACTGCTGGTGGGATTGTACAATGGTACAATCACTCTGGAAGACAGTTTGGTGTTTCCTCAAAAAGCTATCCCACTACTAGTAATACACCCCAAGGAAATGAGAACTGAGACACAAACGGAAATTTGTACACAAATGTTCATAGCAATATTATTCACCATCTCAAGAACATGGAAACAGCTAAAATAGCCAATCATAACTGAAAGCATTGAGGAATTATGGTGTATTCACACAATGGAATACAATGGAGCATTCAAGAGCAATAATTTAGAAATTACTACATAACTTGGGAGAAATTGGAGAGTATTATGCTGAGTGAACAAACACAGTCTCATATGGACAAATACTGCATTAAGACCATTATTGTAGAAATATAAAGATAACTAGTCAAACATGTATGAGGACCCAAGGATGGGAAGGTGGGAGCAGAGGGATGAGGATGGGAAAGGGGAAAATCATAGGGTCGCACAATCTGCTGCTGGTGGTAGTGATAATAAAGGAAATGGGAAAGATCTGGTAGGGATATGGAAAGACAGGGTAAAGGTAGGCATAGTTCAATGGTGATTAATTTTATAAAACATAATGAATAGAAATGATTGTATGAAACAATGTGAATGAAGGATAGTATAAAACACAATTTATACAAATTTTGTGAACAAACCAATATAACATAAAAATTTTAAAAAGAAAAACATTACTATTACTTATTAAAAAAAAAAGAAAAGCAAAAGAAAGGAAATAGACTGGAAGAAAATACTGTTAAACATATCTGATAAAATACTGTTTCCAAAATAAACAAAAAATACTCTCAAAAACAGTAAGAAAACAATCACCATAACTAAAACTGGGCAAAAATCTGAATAAGATCACTGAAGAGACATACAGATGGAAAACAAGCACATGAAAACCTGCACAACATTCTATGTCACTGTAAGTTAAAAATAAAACCAACATCCAAAGCCACACCTGTCACCATTGAGGACATTCAAACTCAAGATGGCCCCACAGATACAATGGTGCTTCACAGGTTTTTCACCAGCTGATTTTTAAGGCTCTTCTTTCAAAGCTCCTCAGAGTATACTCAACAAGCTTTTCATTAGGGATCAACGGCTTAACCACTTGTACCAACCTGATCTCTTAGTATGTATGTCATCAAGGAAACACAACTAAAACGATCACCTCATATCTATGGTTGTTTCTGCCAGAGTCAGAACTGACCCTCCATTAGATTTTAGAGGCTGTAAACTGCACAGGAAGAGCCTTGCCATTTTCTACCACTGAACAACTATTGGATTCAAACCTTTAGGCTGAATCTGTTGGGTGGATTCTACACCACTAGGTGGCAGCACAGCTCTGTACTGCTATGTCACCAGAAGTACTATCTACACACCTACTGGAATGACTAAATTGCAGGATTCTGATGATACCAAATGTTCGCAAGCAATACAATGTTTCATTTACTGGTGGGGAGAATGCTGTATTATCTGAATTGTCTGCAAATTTCAAACAGCTTTAAGTCTACAAATTTTGACAAGTAAGCAAACATTGTGAAGTTAACAAAAACTCAACATAACTTGAGAGTGAACTCAGACTCACTGCTGGAGAGTCAGTTTCAACTCATATGGCCCTCCACTGAGTTTTTGAGGCTTAAATCCATAATGAGAGGAGACTGCTCATCTTTCTCTCATGGAGGTGCTGGTAGATTCAAACCACTGGCGATGCACAGCCTTCAGATTAGCAGTGCATTCAGCCATGGACAATGCCACCAGAGCTCCCTCAGGAGTGAACCTGGGGCTGAGGAAAAAGTTAAAAATATGTAATTTAAAAATGTGTAAAGTTCTAGTATTAGAACTAACTAGGACTAGGAAGTACTGGTAGTTTTCTAGCACATGTGAGATACATACATATCACCTGTTAGATCTACACTGTTAGCTCCACCACACTAATTTCAGTAATTCTTATTTCACCACACATGGAGTTCCTGGGTGCTATAAGCAGTTCAGTTTTGGACTACAACCCAAAAGGCTGGCAGTGTGAACCCACCCAGAAGCACCTCAAATAAAAGGCCTGGCAATCTGCATCAGCAAGAACACAGTCTTGAAAACCCAATGGTTACAGTTTTGTATTCTGCACACAGAGTGGACATGAGTCAGAATTTCAACAGCAGCTTGATTTGCTGTGCTTCTGTTTTTGCTTACCTCCTCTTTGTGAGTGACATTGACCCTTGTTTTAATATAAGGAAAAGCATGTGAAGTAGTCAGAATGGTCTTTCGCTTGAACTGTTCATGAAGTTCCCCATGGGCACGGCCATCTAAAGTGAAGGGCGTACAGTACATGAAACGGCGAAGATTGTAATTTTTATCAAAATATGTGATTCTGTCCTTCATTTCATATGTATCAAAATATGGCTCCACATAGGTAATCTGAATATAGGCCTGAAAAAAGAAAAGGTTTTTATTTCTTCACAGATAAATGATCATTTAGTTTTTCTCAAAACCACATGAAAGTTCTCAAAGAGATGCTTATTTTTCTTTAGTGTCTAGTCAATATTACCTTATTGGGATCCAATTTACACTTGTCTACAGGATTAGAGTCCTTGATTACTTCAACCACATCTTCTCCAAATCTCTCTCCATAAAAGCCCTATAACAAACAGGGAAAGAATAAAGTGGGGGAAGTTTCTTTTATGTGAAATTAAGAGAATTGGAAAATAGAGAAAGTCTCTGATGGAGACACTTGAGCAAAATCAGGTCACTTAAAAACTGCTATACACCTATGCTAATCATTCTAAATAATAATTTAGCCTCACAAACATTATTTCAGTCTACCACGTTAGCAGTTTAAAGTCCCTATTAATTTGATGCGATCACCATCTACTGCTTTAAATAATATTATTATTTTTGGATTCTATGAGAATTCCTTAAAAAAAAAATCCAAAGAGTTAACAGAAGGCAAAGACAAAACAAACTCAAAAATACATGCATTTATCTTTTAAGATTTTACTAGGTTTGTAATTTGAAAAAAATCTCTAGGTCTAAAAGGTGGCTTTATATGAGAATGTAGTGACTTTAGTGTAGGAGTATGGTCATTTGTGGTTGTTGTTGGTGTTATTAGGCACCAGTGAGTCAAGCACAACCCATAGCAACCTTTTGAACAATAGACCTGAATCCTGTCCTATGTTGGGCCATCACCACCCTCAAACCCATTGCTGCAGTCACTATGTCAATCCACCTAGTTGAGGGTCTTTCCTCTCTTTTGCTGAGTGGCGCAAGAGGGGAAGACCCTCTATGAGATGGATTGATTCAGTGACTGGGATAATTGGGATGGGTGTGTCAGAGGCAGTGTGACTGGCACAGGACAGAGCAGAGTTTAGGGCTGTTGTACATAGGGTCGCTATGAGTCGCAAACGACTCGATGGCACATAACAACAACCTTTCTAAGCATGATATCCTTTCTCCAAGGAATAGCCTCTCTTAGCAACATGCCTAAAGTATGAGACAAAGCTTTCTTATCTTTGCCTCCATGGACACTCTGGCTGCGCTTTCTCTAAGGCTTATCACACCTCAAGACACCACAGCTCAAAGGCATCAATTCTTCTGTCATCCTTATTTACTGGAAAGCTCTCAAATGCACAGCAAGTGACTGGAATGATCATGGTCTGAATCAGGCACACCTTGGTCCTCAAACTGACATTACTGCTCCTTAATAATTTGGAGAGGCCCCTTCACTGCTGACTTTCTTAGTGCAGTACACCTCCTGATTTCCTGACTCCTGGTACCAACGGTGTTAACTGTGAATCCAGGTAAGACAAAGTCATTGTCAAAGACTATTCTCCATCTTTCATGGGCATGGTGCCCATTCTTATTCAAAAAGGAAAAAATGAAATTAAATCATCAAAACAGAACCCTCACTTCAAAGGTAATTCTTATGACTGGCTAAGTTTCAGAAATAACATCTCAGTGAATATTTTGCAAGGCTTACCAAGCCCTCTCAATTGAATTGTACCCTGACTCCCCAAATTAAGATCCTAATCTTTGTGCTTGTGACTTCCTTTGAAAATAAGACCTTCCTCTGAAGATGTAATTAGTTAAGGAGATCATACTGGAAGAAGGTAGGTCCCAGGTCCTTCTGATGGCATCTTAAAGATAGACACAGGGTAAAGATGACAGATAAAGGCAAGAAATGTGAAGAGGCACCTGGGACTACCAAAAGCTGGAAGAAACCAGGAAGGATCTGCCCCTGGCTTTGCCAACACCCTGAATGTGCATGCCTGGTCACAAGAAACATGAGGCAATAAATGCGTGCTTTTAAAGCTACTTATTCTGTGGTGTCAAACACTTTGTAGAACTTTGTTATGATACTCCAAAGAAACTAAGACAGCTATTAAAAAAATCCATAGCTTAAGATATTTATGAAAAGTGAGCACAGAAGCCTGACTAATAAGAGTATAATAGTCAAGAAATTCACACTGTTTGAAAATTAGAAATGAGCCTATAGCAATGCTTCCCTTACTTATGAGAATAGTAGTCAACTAGGGATCTTGCAGGGTAGTCTCTGAAATTATGAATTTTACATAACCCAAAGGCAATTCCAATGCATCCAGTCCATGGATCACACTAGCTGGGGAAAGGCTGGAAAGAATTCTATTAAGAGAAAAGATCAGTTAGCCTGACAGGAATAAAAGCCAATCAATTTTATGGTGAAAAGATACTATAAAAAAGATATTATAAAGGTTAAAGGATTCTAAGAGGTGTTTTAAAAGTCCAATTTCAGGTTTTGAGGTTCTAATAGTATCTCACTGACAATCACTTATTCTGATGCTTCTAGTCCATGGATTACATTTTAAGTAGCATGAACAGAGAAAGGCTGAAATAAACCAGATGATGCACAATGGTAGAAACTGCTTGGGATTCCAGTTCTACTTTGATCATTAGCTGTTATTGCTATGTGCCATTGAGTCAGAAATAACGCACAGCTAACCCTCCAGTGGGTTTTCAAAGACAATAAATCGCATGGGAGCAGACTGTTGTTAATCCTTCTCTGCAAAGCAGCTAGCGGGCATTGGTACCCTTTGGGACCGCAGCACAGTTTCTTACCACTAAAGTCACCAGAGCCATTTTCTGTAAAAGGTGAATAATACTATACATCTCTCAGTAAATCACAAGTTCTAAAGGATTTATGAGTTTTTAAAATGTGTGTGAAATAGTCTCAAAAAAAAAGAAATGTTATTACTTTACTATTGCCATTTAAAGTATGATAAGATTTGAAACTGTACCTATCAAAATTTTTATCTTACCAAGGAGCTGTTTATTTGGGAAGATTTACTTTGTTTAATTATTAGAATTAGATCTACAAATCTCTTAATTATTGTTGTTGACTAGCAATAGCTAGTCAGTGTCAAGTTGGAATTGACTCTTGGCTCACCTTCCAGTAGGTTTTTCGGAGGTAGCAAATTGCACAGGAAGAGGTTATAAATCTTTTTCCCTCACAGCAGCTGCTGGATTTAAACCACTTTGCCTTGTGGTTGGCAGTGCAAACTGTTACTATTAAGCCACCAGACCTTCCTATTCATTATGATTGTGTTGTTGTGTACTGTAGAGTTGGAACTGACCTATAGCTGACCCTCCTCAGAAGTGACCCATAGTTAACCCTCCGGCAGGTTTTCAAAGGCAGTGAATTATACAGGAGGAAATTGCCCATCCTTCTCCCAAAGAGCAACTGGTGGTTTAGAACTCTTTGTGTGCAGCTTCTTAACACTAAGCCACCAGAAAGCCTATTTATTATATGGAATACAAATTAAGGATGACATTTTTTTTAACCCACAATGGCATTCACCTCCAATCTGTGAGATATCTCTGCAAGTTTGGTTATTGCAGGCTCCTTGTAAACAAATTCTTGTTCATCCAAATCTCCAAACTTGGTTCCATAAAAACCAACACGAAAATAGGTGCCAAACATCCGCTTACCATCCTAGGTTTAGGAAAAGGAAGAAACTTTAATATAACATCCTTTTCATTATTATGCTTACATAGCTATAATAGAAGTTTATAAAACATTGCAAAAATCTTAAATAAAAATTTCATTAATTTATCCTTTATTTGAAGGTAAAAAAAACCCTTATTCTGTTTTAAAATCATAAAATAAATTCTTTTTCTTAATACACAAAATGATGTTTGGTATAACACGGACTATATCTTAACTACTCTGAAATTATAGCACAGTAAGTAAACTTACATTCCAAAGTAATTCTGTATTTAAAAATACTGTTTTAAGTAGTAGCCTATATGTAGTATCTTTACATACACTAGGTGAGGAACCAAACATAATATTCGGCAGAAAGTAGACAATTAGTAAATGTCAAAACCTTGCTAGGGCACTGAAGTATAAAAAGTTATCATTTGTACCCTTCTGTGGATAAACATATTTAGGTATGGGAATAGTAAGTACAAGTTTAACAAAAAGGGGAGGAAAAGAAAGATAAATATTTGAGATTAAATTGGTTATGTTACACCCCTCAAACCACCCACTGCATGCATTAACCACGCATCCACGTCAAATACATAGTATATACGAAAGCTCATTTAACTATCACACACAAAAAAATTAGAAGATAAAGCATAAAGATAACTGGAGTTTTCTCTGTAATTCTTACAATTCAGACTGATACAAAGCTGTTACAGAACTTGTGGAGGCTTCTGTATATAAAGATACACACAAACGTGTTTAGAAGGAAATTGAAGTTCCCTTTAGACTTATTCTGCTTCATATTTATTTTCTCACCATTGAGTTTTTCCCTGGAAAAGCAAAGTCTACATAAAGTAAGCCAAAAATGTTAAAGATAATCAAGCAAAATGGGAAATTCTGGTCCCTAATTTACCAGTTTTGTCATAAGTAAAAAAATATAGTGATTCTAAAAAACCAACAAAACTTCTCATTTTTGTCTTTATTTATACAGATAAAGTTTAAGGATGGGAAATATCTTCGGAACTTGTTTTTTCTAATCTTAACAACATACACATACACATACACATACACATACACACACACACACACACTACACACAGAGTTCACAAATACTTCAAAATTTAACAATTAACTTAATCATAGTTAACTGATTTCTACAAAAATCTTTCTAGATACAATAAATTAAACCAAAATTTCAAATAAGTCATACATAAATATAGTAATAAAATTTGACATGTTGCTGTTATTTGCTGTCAAGTCACCTGCAACCCATTGTACAGCTGCCCTATCCTGAGTCAGTCTCACTGATTCTGACACATGAACCTCCATTGCCCCAGTTACTGTATCAATCCATCTCACCGGATCTTCCTCCCCTATGCTGTCCCTCCACCGTTACAAGCGTAATGCCCTTCACTAAAAAACAGTCCGTCCTGGCCATGTGCCCAAAGTATTTAAGACAGAGATTAAAAATTCTAGCCTCCAAGAAGAAACTTGGTTTCAGCCTCTCCAAAACAGATCTGTTTTCTTGGTAGTCCATGGTATGTTCATGACTCTTATCCAGCACCACAGCTCAAAGGTATAAATTCTTCTTCTGTCATCCTTGGTCATTGTCCAGTTCTGTGATGCACAGCAAGTGGCTGCGAAGACCATGGCCTGGGCCAGGCGCATCTTAGTCTCTACGATGACATCATTCCTTCTCAGTACTCTGGAGAGGTTGCTGACAGCAGATTTTACCAGTACAATTCATCTTTTCATTTCCTGACTGCTGGTACCAAGTGTGTTGATTGTGGAGCCAAGCAAGCTCAGTCTCTACTCAATCTATCATGGTGTTGTCAACTGGCCTAGTGGTGAGCTTCAATCCATATTGAAGACTACAGTCCTTGACATTTCACAGCAAGCACTTCATGTCTTCTTCAGTTTCAGCAAGCAAGGTTATGTCATCTGCATAACGTAGGTTGTTGATGAATCTTCCTCTACAGTTGTTGTTATGTGTCGTTAAGTCACCTGCGACTTACAGAGACCCTATGTACAACAGCCCTAAACCCTGCTCTATTCTGTGCCAATTTTATTGTCTCTGACACACCTACTTCCATTACACCAGTCACTGAATTAATCCATCTCATGGAGGGTCTTCCTTCCTGCGCTGTTCCTCCTCCTGCGTGATGACCCTCTTCTTAAAGGACTGGTCCCTCTTTGCAACATGTCCAAAGTATGCCAGACAAAGCTTTAGAATCCTTGTCTCCAAGGAGTAGCCTGGTTTAATACTCTCCAAGATGAACTTGTATATATGGTATATTCAACACTCTTCTCCAACATCACAGCTCAAAGGCATCAATTCTCCTCCTATCATTCCTAGTCATTGTCCAGCTCTCTGATGCCTAGTGATTGCAAAGACCCTAGCCTGTATCAGGCGAACCTTAATCTCCAGGCTGACATCATTCCTCTTCAGTACTTTGAAGAGGTCTCTGACAACAGACTTTCCAAAAACAATACATCTTTTAATTTCCTGGCTGCTGGTGCCAAGAGTGTTGATTGTGGAGCCAAGCAAACTAAAGCTGTTTACAGTCTCAACGTCCTTCACCATCTATTACAATGCTGCAAATTGGCCCAGTAGTGAGAATATCTGTTTTTTGATAGTGAGCCTCTATCCACATCGAAGGCTGTAGCCCTTGATCTTTTGCAGCAAGTGCTTCAGGTCCTCCTCAGTTTCAGTAAGCAGGGTTGTGTCATCTGCATAATGCAGATTTTTGATGAATCTTCCTCCAATCCTGATACCACATTTCTCTTCAGTCTCTGTAGTGCAATCAGTTAGTGTGTTTGGCTGTTAATAGAAACACTGGTGGTTCAAGCCCACTCAGGGACAATACATTTCCTCTATAGTATACACTATAAATTCTTGAATATTGTGACTCATATTTAAAGACATGTTAACATTTGATTTCTTTAAGTAAGCTTGCTTACTCTCTTATCATTCTTGATATGGCAGGAATTCCTATCATCTTTGCATTTTATTGGCTTGCCACTGCCAATGTGGTATCCCTGAAATTGAAAATGTGTTATTCTTGAAATAGATACAATACTACTGATGTGATCTGAGCAGTCAAAATACCACTGGCCTCACTGCTCTCTAAACTTGACAATAAATTTTATTAGTGCAATTTAAAACTGAAATAGGTACTCAGAGGCCATTTTAAACTTTTACATCTGTTCTCACGTTGACAATCAGGTTAGGGATAAAAAGTGCTTATTGTCAACCTCTTTCATCCTTAGTAACAGGAAAATAAAGATGAAACTCAGTTCTCACAATTAAGGAACTCAAGAAAGTCAAACATATATTTAAGTATGTCCCACATGTGCAAAATATAAGTTACTTAAAGGAACAATCAATCTTGGTAACGTTGGGTCACAAAAGTTGTTACTGTTAAGTGCTGTTGAGTTGAGTACAACTCATAGTGACCCTATGAACAAATGATCTGAAACCTGTTCTATCCTGTGCCATCCTCACACTTCATGACACACAAGAGACCCCTGAGGCAGTCACTGTGTCACTCTACCTAGTCAAGGGTCTTCCTCTCTTTTGCTGAACCTTCACCCTGCCTAGCATTATGTCTCTCTCCAAGAAATAGTCCCTCCTAGCAACATACCCAAAGTATGTGAGGCAAAGATCCACCATTCTTGCCTCCAAAGAGCACCACGGCTGCACCCTCTCCAAGATACATCTGTTTGTGCTTTTGGCCAGCCATGTGATGTTCAATGCTCTTTTCCAACACCACAGCTCCAAAGTGTCAATTCTTCTGTGATTTTCATTCACTGTCTAGCTCTCAGATGCATAGGAAGTGATTGAAAAGACTATGGCCTGAATCAAACACACCTTAGTTCTCAAAACTGACAGCATTACTCCTCAATAATTTGGAGAGGCCTCTAACTGCAGACTTTCCCGTGCAATGTGTCTCCCTATTTCCTGACTGCTCTTATCAAGGGTGTTAACTGTGGATCCAAGAAAGATGAAGATGTTTATAATGTCAATCTCCTCTCCATCTATCATGACACTGCTTATCTATCCAGTGGTAAGAATCTTTGTTTTCTTGATATTGAGATGTAATCCATATTGAAGGCTATATTACTTGATCTGCAACAAGTGCTTCAAGTTCTCCTCACTTTCAAAAAGCAAGGTTTTGTGTTCTGCATAACACAATTTATTAATGAATCTTCCTCCAATCTTGATGCCACATCATTCTTTACAGAGCCTAGCTTCTTGAGTAATTTGTTCAACATACAGATTGAATAAGTATGGAGAGAGAATACAACCATAAAACACTCCCTTCTTAACTCTAAACCATGTAATGTTCCCTTGCTCTTTTCACCTTTTGGTGTGGGTGAACATGAGTACAATTAAGTGCTCAGGCATACCTATTTCTCTCAATGTTAGCCATACTGTATTATAAGCCTTTACAAAGAAAATAAAGCATAAATAGGCATTCTTCTGGTATTCTTTACTTTCAGTTAGGATCCATCTGACATTAGCAATGATATCCGTGGTGCCAGTCTTTTCTAAATTATGCTTCAACTTCTTCTAGTAGTTTCCTGTCTATGTACTGTTCTAGCTATTTTTGAATGATCTTCAGCAGTGTATTTCGCTTGTACGTGATACTGATGATATTGTTCGATTGTTGCCACATTCTGTTAATATCACCTTTCTTAGGAATGGGAACAAACATGGACCTCTTCCAAGCTGTTAACCAGCTGTCCTCCAAATTTCCTGGCATAGACTGCTGAGCATATCTATGATAAACTGCATCTGTTAATTGAAACAAGTCAACTGGTACCCCGTCAATTTCTGGGGCCTTATTTTTTTGCCAGTGCCTTCAATGCAGCTTACAATTCTTCCTTCATTACCACTGGCTCCTGCTCATATGGTACTTCCCAAAATTTTTCCGTGTCAATCAGTTCTTTTTGATTCTGCTACTCTGTGTATTCCTTCCATCTTCTTTCTATGATTCCTGGGT